TCTTTTACAGGTGAGATAAGGCTCTTATGCTGAAACACAGTACTCCCCTTTTACCAAACCAGCACTTCTAATTCAAGCCAAAAGTTCCATTTTGTTCTAATCCACCCACAAAATATTTTTCCAATAGCCTTTTACCAATAGCTTATGTGTTTGGGATTTCACAAACTACACTATATACAGGTTGCAACATTCATTTTGGACACTTATCCATCCATCCATCCATCCATCCATCCATCCATCCATCCATCCATCCATCACCTCTCTCATCTCTCATCTCTCTCTCATCTCTCTCCCCCTCTCCTATCTATCTATCTATCTATCTATCTATCTATCTATCTATCTATCTATCTATCTATCATTTATCCACCCACCCATTTATCTCCCCCCCTCTCTCCTATCTATCTATCTATCTATCTATCTGTCTATCTATCTATCTATCTATCTATCTATCTATCTATCTAACTTTCAGACATATCTTAAGAAAACTGAAGATAGGTTAGATTTGATCATCTTCTATCTGGTGAGTCAATGCAGATGTTTGGGAGGTATTAATATGAGATTAGGCTGTTTGCTACTGTGCAAATAGGAGAATTGCATAATGTACAACAAACCAAAATTGTATTTTTGTAATGGACCTGGGAGAGAAATGAGACATTCTCATATATACAATATGAAGATAAGTAAAGTAGAATCATTTCTTTATTCTGGTAAAATATGTTGAGCTGTATATTTTAGTTGTCTTTCATCTTCAGGTCAGAAGGTTGGGGAAAGATGATGTTAAAGCATAACTTTTTGTTACTGTTATTATTTTTCAATAATAAATGTTCTTTCTAAATGATAAATGCTCTGTGTGAGCATATGTTTTTCTTCATTTCTCTGGGATTTATACTGGTAATTACTTAGTTCCTTAATTATAATAATACTAGTACTTTTCTTTTTGTTTACTTCATGCTGAACTTCAATGCCGAAGGACACGATCAACAGCAAAAAGTATGAAGGATATTATTATCACACCAGTTTACAGTATATTTCAAGCTGGAAGAAAGAGTGAAAGCAGACACGAGTCCTCCACAGTTATATTTGATAGATACTTCTCTAAAGGATTGGTTGTCAGGAGTTTTTATTACTAGACATTTAATTTTTACTGTCACAAAAAATAAAATAAATTAGGAAAAGTACAATATTTATGTAAAGCAAAATTTGGATTTGCTTTGAGAATGGTGGCTTTAACAATCTTGCTTCTAACACTATTTTCTCCCCAAATATATAAGACTCATCAAATGAAATGTAAATTTCAAAGTCTTTTTGTGCCATATCATAGATACCATCAATCAGGAGATCTCACAGTAGGTGGAATAGGAACCTTAGCTAGTTTTTTGCATGGTGCTCTAAGTTTTGATGAAGTTCCACCCCCACCATTACGTGAAGATCTCATGTAAGGATTTTGCTTCAGTTTTGTTGTGGGAATAATTGTTCGTAGAGCTGAATTCAATTACTCAGTTTTGAATTGTTGTAGGATATGCATAATTTCCTTTCTTAATTTCCTTGCCAACCATCATTTCTTTTTAAAATCTTCTCAAAGAAATATTGCCTTTTTATTGATCTGATCTCTCTTCCTTCTATCCATAACTTAACATGTTGGGTAGAATATTTAGTGAAAATGCTACATTAAAATTCTTCACTTAACTATTTATTGAGAGTTCTGATTAGCTTAATAAATAGTCTAAAACCTTCCCTTTTTAAATTGCAGAGATTGTATCTTCCAATTTTCCCACTCTTTTGGCTAACATGGTAAAGAGATATTTTGAGACGCTATTCTCCAATGATGAGTGGCATTTGTTTATACTTACTTAATGAACCAAATTCACTTTTTATTGACATATTTTGTATAACTACTCATCATCGTAATTACTCATCATCACAAAATTGTTTACGGAAATAAAGGAATTCAAATGAACAAAACACCATTTTGTAAGTTTATAAATTTGATAGAGTCCTACAACTGTCCTTAATCAATTAAAAATGACCCACATATCTATAATAATAATAAAAAAATGATTTGAAGTTTTTTTAGATTTACATTTCAATATAATAAAAAAATTGATTCTGTTCCAGTTTATTGCCTAAAAATTACCAACATATCCTGGCCCTGGTATTTGCAGTAAAGGAGATCAATGAAAATCCTCATATCTTACCCAATGTCACCCTGGGTTTCCAAATCTATGACAGTCACTTCAGTGGACAGAGGACCTATCATGCCACAATGTTACTGCTTTACAACTTGAAGAGTATTTTTCCTAACTACATTTGTGGCATTCAGAACCATCTGAAAGCAGTGATTGGGGGATTAGACTCCAAAACCTCCATTGACATTGCAAATGTCTTGGATATCTACAAAGTTCCACAGGTAGATTACATCAGCTTGAAATAATATTGATCTCTAGAAGCAATTTTTGTTTTGTTTATATAAGGATTATTCTGTGAATCAAATATTGGGAATTTTGCAAATAGTGTGTGTGTTTGTATTCTTTTTTATTTTTTTATAAAAAGTTGAACATCATTTTATAAGGACACCAATTTTTTTTTTTAAATCCAATGAAAATGTACGTGGGCAAGTGTGTGTATAAATAGATAGAGAAAGAAAAACCTATGAATTCTATTTATTGAAATGTAAATGTTGCTAGATGGACATCACGATCAGTAAAAAGTTAGGTAGCACCATAAATGTAATCAATACATCATCATATATATCTCATAGGCTGTTGTTATATATGTGATGTATGATATATAGAGAAAGGGACAACTATAAAAATGCAGAAAATATGTGTATAGAATGAATGGAAGGAAGAAAGGAATAGAGTAATAGAGTAATACAGAAAAGAGTCTGAGCAAAGAAACTAAATGCCCAGAGTGACATAATTTTGTTTTATTAGAATTATGATGTTGGACATCTTGAGCCCTCTAGTTTAAGATATTTGACCCCACAGGGCAAACACAACTGTATCCTGAATCAGGACGGTATCATTTTCATCCATTTAAGAAATTGAATTTTAGGATCTGAAACTTCATGGAAATGTGTACAAATAACTCCAGAACATCCCAGTTCCATTATCTTCTGGAGGTACTTTTGCTTTTCAGAAAGCTGACTTGAGAGAATGCCTATGTTATCTTTTAGGCTGTGAGGCCTCATGTTCAAATCACAAAAGAAACCCACCATGTTTTGAGTAGATTTGAAAGGACCCAGATACTTTCACATATTTAGTAGCACGAGCAGAATAGTTGAATTTAATTAAAGTTCTGCAGTTAATAGGCTAGGAAGCCATCCTGTTGTTTCTGAATCTATTGTATATCAGAAACTGGAACTTCTAGCAGCTAAAATAAAGAAAGAAAACTTGAGAACATGAGTTTGAAAGAAGATAGAGATTTGGGGGTTCTGCTGCTGTCTGGACTCACTTTACTTTCTTTGGCATATCATAGAGTAATTTCCCCTCATTTGTATTGTATAGATTTTCAGCTGCTCAACAGTCAGAGGAGTGATTTGCAAAATTGTAAGAGTGTCAAGTTTTGGTAATGGCTGAATATACATATATTGAATATAGATAAAAAACCTAATGCCAATCATAAGAAAATGTTCATAAGAAGTTCAGGTTGAGATACAATGATTGAATATCCTTCCGTATCAGCTTGAATGAGGATCTGTGACCAGAATTACAGGCTAAGGAAGAGCCCCTTGGAAGAATTACTGACCCATTTTACTTTGGGAGATAAATGTACAATTTCTATTGGGAAGAATACCATTGCCTATTATCTGTGCCCCATGGCTTTCCTTTGTTCATAATATTCACTTGGAATAGATAGTCACACAGATCAATAAATAGGCCTTGAGCTGAACAAATTGAAGACAGATCTAAAATTTCAATTTATTTTCTCAAGGATCAGTTTCACAGTCATTTCATAACCCCCACTTTTATCTCTGCTGAGATTATTTCTGCTACAAATAAGAGTATCCACATTAGGAAGTGTTACCCACAATGTTGCCAAAGGGAAGATATTCCCTTATACAGATTTCTGCTTCATATTATTATTATTATGGTTTCTTGCATAGTCAGCCACATGGTCAGACTGGATTGTTGTTATTTGTTAAATTAATTTTCCACCTATCTTGCCATGGGACTATTCCAGGTGAACAACAATAATAAAAAGGAACAAAATGAAAGTGTGAACAGAAGAGATATAAAATAATAGAACAATAAAATAAACAACGAAAAAGAACACAAGGTGAATATATCAATATGATAGCCAAAAAGATGACAGGTGGAAAGCAGGAATTTTCTCCACAAGCAAATCATTGGCCATATTTGACTTCATTATCCCTCCCTCTATCATGGTTAGTGTAAAGAATTGATAACCTACCATAATTCCTTGTTTACTGTGCAAGCTGATCATAAATATAACATTGCTTGTTTCTGACTTTCTGATATATACACTGAAATTTCCAGCACATTAGTGAAGTTGTGTATTGTGTCTTCTGTTTATTGCCTGTTGCACATTATGGTTAATGTGACTGTTACTATCTCTTTCCTTTGCTGTTAATTTTCCTTCAGCTGGTCTATGGCTCTGCTCCAATCATGAATTATAAAACCCCACGCCTCTCCTTCTTCCAAATGAGCCCCATGGAAAGACTTCAGTATGAAGGGATTCTATCTTTGCTTCACTACTTCAGGTGGACATGGGTTGGACTTGGTGTGATGGAAAATGAAAATGGAGAAAGATTTTTAGATGCAATTATACCATTATTTTTCAAGCATGGTATCTGCTTTGAAGCCATAGAGAAAATTGCCATAATAACATCTTTTAATGAAATTGGCAGCTTGTTCAACCAAGGTGCAGAAATCCATGATAAAATCATGGATATAAGGACAAATATAATGATATTTTATGGTGAATCATATTCCATGATGCTACTGAGATGGTTACCATATCTATCAAAAAAAGAAAAGATGGACAATATCAACAAAGGCAAAGTCTGGATATTGACAGCTCAGGTTGAACTCACTTCACATGTTTATCAACGTGACTGGGATGCCCAAATGATCCATGGTGCTTTGTCCTTCACAATTCATGCTAATAACCCACCAGGATTCAGTCCTTTTGTTTTAAATAGAAATCCATCCAGCACAAAAGATGGATTTATCAAAGACTTCTGGCAGCAAGCCTTCAACTGTGTATTTAAAGCTTCAGATATGGATGAGGTGAATGGAGATATCTGCAGTGGGAAAGAAAAACTAGAAGATCTTCCTGGAACATTTTTTGAAATGAACATGATTGGTCACAGCTATAGCATCTATAATTCTGTTTATGCCATAGCCCATGCGTTACAGTCTTTATCCAGATTTAGGCAGAGATCAACAGCAGAGGCAGGAAGACTGAACCTTAAGAATCTAAATTCATGGCAGGTAATTGACTCAACATCTTTTGGAAGATCATTATTTTTGAGAATAAAAGATTCATCCCATATCTCCATAATTAACTCTCTTTACATTTCCTTCCCAGGCTTCCATTTCTTTTGACTATGTATTTATCAGCCCGTGATGTCCATTGAGCCTAGTCTTATGCTTTTCCTAAAAATGCATAATTCCTCTTTTTCTAATCGGTCTCTCTGTCTCTCCCCACCCACATAGCTACATCATTATTTAAAAGGTGTTTCATTTAACAACAGTGCGGGGGACAAAGTGTCACTTGACCAAAATGGAGAATTACTAGTGGGATATGATATATTGAACTGGATTGTTTCTTCCAACCAATCCTTCATTAGGAAAAGAGTTGGCAGGTTAGACCCTGAAGCTCCACCGGACCAAATATTCACTATTAGTGAAGATGCCATTACCTGGCACAGCTGGTTTAACCAGGTAAGGTCTGATTTCTAGGAATCTATGAAAAATCTAGTTTCCAGATCATCATGCTTTGGCTAGGTGTGTGACATAAATTTCACTGACTAGTAATAAACAGGAGTAAACCGGTTTTGAGAGATGATTTGTAAAAAAAACCATATTAATTCAGAAAATGGAACTAAGAGGGTTTTGCTTCAATTCTACTTATGAATTCATTATGTGTAACGTAAGGTTGATCTGAAGTTCTTGTATAAAACATTATACCTTACTTTTCATGAATATCAAATGCGTTGCTTATGGTAACTTAAACAATTTGTAATGAAAAAAATATAACTCCTGGAAGAAAAACAAATCTCCATTTTTTTATTGTTTATATAATTGTGGATTTCTTTTATCAAGATTTTCTTGAACCCTAATAGATGACATAATTCCCGGAACACTGGTAAATATGTCCCTTTGTTAACAATATACATTGTTTGGAAAAAATGGGTTCTTTCATTAAGAGTTACCTGAAAGAACTGGGAAATGGGTAAATCAAAGCATTAATCATGCCATTAATTATGTCCATTTATAACCCAGAGTTTAGCATTATTTATGAAGGAATGGCCATTTGTCATTAATTCATTATTCACTGAGATGACTTCCTGGTTTTATTGGAAATAGTTTCAGTTGAATAACTGTAGCTTAAGTGAGAGTTGTGATACTGATGTCTATTGGCATGATGTCATAAGACGATAGTGGACCAATATTCTTAATAAAGAGATGACAACCTTTTTAATTCCAATGTACCATGTTCATTATGAAGAAAGATCTCACTATTGTACAGTTAATGAGATGTTTTCTATGAATCTCATTCATATTAAAATATTTTGTTAGCATCTCCAAGGTCATTACATCAATACTGGCATTCTTCTTATGTTTGTTTCTTATTGATACTTCAGTCCCACCCTCTTTCAGCATGTTCTGAAAGTTGCCACCCTGGTTCAAACAAGAAAGTGAAGGAGGGGGAATCCTTTTGCTGCTATGACTGCATCTTTTGTCCAGATGGGAAGATTTCTGAGAAGGAAGGTAAGAAACAAATTGTTTGGATTATCAATCAAACTCAAGGTAATCTGGAAAAACAATGAAATACAAATTTGTTCACATCAATGGTTCCTTATCCCCAATGGTTCCTTATTTTTAATAAGACTGAAAGTATGTATAGATAAAATCTAAGACTTCTGAAGAGTAAAAAAATCTGGTATAAATGGATATTTTGACACTACACATATTTATGGGGACTGCATGAACTTTTCTGGTTCACCATTAAGAATCTGAAAACTGCACTTTGCCAGATCTCACAATGCAATATGAAAGCTTAGTGTATTAGATTTTAGATTGCATGGAAAAAATAATTATAGGATATTGTTTAAATTTATTTATTTTAGATATTTATATAGCCCCCACCTTCATGAAATATGGGGTGGTCCCAATCAACCACTAAACAACACCAATAATATTAAATATAAATGATATTAAAACCCTAAGCCTTAAAAAGTCTGATATCAATGTTAAGCTTTCACATACAGACCCTCATCAAACCTTCTTGTCAATCTCACCCTATCCTAGCACATGGGGGAAAGCCCAGGTTTTAACATGATTTTTGGAAGGCTAGATGGATAGAGGCTTGTTAATTTTTAAGGAGAAGGATGTTCCATAGGGTGAGAGCTCCCACAGAAAAGACATCTTTTCTAGATCCCACTAGAGGTGGTAGTCAGCAGGTTCTGACCAGTCCTGGAGAACCGGTAGTGGAAATTTTGAGTAGTTTGGAGAACCGGTAAATACCACCTCTGACTGGCCCTGCCCCCACCTATTCTCTGCCTCTCGAGTCCCAGCTGCCCGGGAGGAAATGGGGATTTTGCAGTAAACTTCCCCTGGAGTGGGGTGGGAATGGAGATTTTACAGTATCCTTCTCAGGTGATGCCCACCAAGCCATGCCCACCAAGCCATGCCATGCCCACCAAGCCATGCCCAGGTAGTAAAAATTTTTGAATCCCACCACTGCATAAGGCAATGTTTAAAAAAGGAAACTAGGAATGTGCTCACCCCACCTGTTAGGGAAAGGTGGCTCTGTAGATAATGTGACTTGAACTATATAGGGATTTAAAGGTAATAACCAGAATTTTGAATTGAACCTGGAAGGAAACTTGAATAGAAATATTCAATAGTAACAGAATATTGTTGAAATGTGCATTCTATTTTTGAATTCTATTCCTCCTCCTCCTCCTCTTTTATCACTTTGGGGGTCAAGGAAGATACAAAATTCTGGCTCTTGCTCTTTTGGCAGTCTCAACCATTGTTAACCGATGTTGCTCTAGTCTTTGATGTCTCTCCATTTTCTGGGTCTGTCTTGTGTTCTTTGACCTTTTCTTTTTTTATATGTCTTGTACTTGAGATACTTCTAAAAACATTAATCCATTTGATTTTTCAGATAGTAATGAATGTTATGCATGTACAGAAGGAAGCTATCCAAACATGGACCGCAATTTCTGTATACCTAAAACAGTGACATTTTTATCTTATGAAGAACCTTTGGGGATCACTTTAGTTTTGTTTGCCCTTTGCTTTTCTTTGTTCTCCGTGATGGTGCTTGGAATATTTTTGAAGAACCACAATACTCCCATTGTCATAGCCAATAGCCGAAATCTCACCTACATTCTCCTCATCTCCCTCCTGCTCTGCTTCCTTTCTTCATTCCTATTTATTGGTCATCCTGAGAAGATGGTATGTCTCCTGCAACAAACGACTTTTGGGGTTGTCTTTGCAGTGGCTGTTTCTTCTGTATTGGCAAAAACCGTCACAGTGGTTCTGGCTTTCCTGGCCACTAAGCCAGGATCCAAGATGAGAATGTTTGTGGGAAAGAGACTGTCCAACTCCATTGTCATTTCCTGTTCTCTTATCCAAATAAGTATTTGCATGACATGGCTAACAACTTCTCCCCCCTTCCCAGACACAGATATGGATTCAGTAATTGAAGAAATTATTCTTCAGTGCAATCAAGGCTCTGTGACTATGTTCTACAGTGTCCTAAGCTATTTGGGCTTCTTGGCTGTTATTAGTTTCATAGTTGCCTTCATGGCCAGGAAATTACCTGATACTTTCAATGAAGCCAAGTTCATCACTTTCAGCATGTTGGTCTTCTGCAGTGTTTGGATATCCTTTGTTCCAACCTATTTGAGCACCAAGGGGAAGTACATGGTGGCAGTGGAGATATTTTCCATCTTGGCCTCTAGTGCTGGTTTGCTGGGCTGCATCTTTTTTCCCAAATGTTATATAATTGCTTTAAGGCCTGACTTGAACAACAGGGAAAATTTAATGAAGAGAAAACAATTCTGATTTTGATTCATAATGTCCTTTGCTGTAGTTTATAATTATGAAAATAATATCATCTTTCTCCAGGATCATACGGCTGCTTTATCAACAGCTGCACTCCTGCTTTCCATGGGCAGGTATTGCTGCTTCAGTTCACTATGAGAAATCAGAGCAAAATGGCTGTGCACATGCATAAGGGAAGAGCAGAGGCAGCCCTCACAGAGACATGCAAGGCTAAAGATAAACTTAATATCAATAGCCATAGCACTTAAACTTATATACCATTTCACAGTATTTACAGCCTCTCTAAGTGGTTTACAGAGTCAGCATATTGCCCCCAACAATCTGGGCCCTCATTTTACTGACCTCAGAAGGATGGAAGACTAAGTCAACCTTGAACTGGTGAGAATCGAACTGCTGGACTGCTGGCAATCGGCAGGCAGCAGAATTAGCCTGCAATGCTGCATTCTAACCACTGTGCCACCATGGCTCTTAATAATTGGAATAACTGGAAAAAGAAGTTTGTCCATTGTTCAAAACATGTCACCCAAAATATTTGCATAGACATATTGTAGCTATTTGCATGCAGTGGAATATAAATTTTAAAATATTTCTTTGTTAAATTAAAGAGACAGGAATTTTTGTATTCGTACTATACTATTAAGAATGTGGTGTAACCTAAAATTTGATTTGAACTGAATATTTTATTTGGACAAATGTGATTAGACACACAAGGAATTTGTATAGAGAAAAACAGAGAAAAATAAAACATATAGAGAAATGTAGGTATGAAAATTCTCAAGAATATACATTATAAAACAAAGAATTTTGAAAAAAATAGTGTATAAAGCAACTTTATTAGAGCAGAAAAGGATTTTCACTTTTTAGTGATTTCACACTCAGTAATTAGTTTTTCTTTTATGAGTCGATCTTGCTTTTCACTAGCAAGGATAGTCTAGAGAAGGTTTTGCATGTTTGTTTCTCTAGATTTGTGATTTTCTTCTTCTTTTTATATATACATATACATAAATGTCTAAGGTTGGGAAATTCTATTAACTGATAAGCTAAATGCAAAGCGATATCAAAGAACAGCCAGTCCAATGGACAATAAAGAGACTACTTTATAGTACTACTCGTGGATACTACTAAGTTGGACACATTTTGAATGGGTACATTTTGAGAGGGTGCAACTGGATTAAATACAGTTTGAGTGGTTGAGCTGAAACGGGGACCAAGTTCATTCACATTCTCATCCACTTATCACTCAGGCCAGTCACATTTTCACTCATTTTAGCTGCTACAATTAGTCCTCATTTAGTAATTGCCTCATTTAGCAACTATTTGCAGTTACATGGGTGAGGAAAAAGTAACTTTGGGACTAATGTCTACCTAATGCATTTCTCTTTCAGTTGCATGTTTGCCTTTACAATTAGTTAGATTGCTTTTGTCCTGTGGAAAATTGAAAGGACAACCGAGATCACATGATTTTCATTTAGTGACTGCTTCGCTTAACAATTGAATTGTTGGTTCCAATTGCAATTGCTAAGCAAGGACTTCCTGTATCTTCAATATTGGAGAAAACCCTTTATGTTTATTATAATTTTGAGTGCTGAGGGCTCTTGTCAATTTCTAGTAACAGTACATGGGCATAGACAGCCAATTTTGTCTAGCTCAGGGTGTGACAAACTGGATTTTTTTTGAGGGCTGGGTCAGCATTGTAGTTCTCTTCCATGGGCTGGTGAGTGGGGGGGGGGAGAAACAGGACAGACGACCCTGCCAGCCAAAACAGGGCATGGGAGGCTGCACACAGCCTCCTCTGCCCCGTTTTCAGCCTGAACGGCCTCCTGCAGCACTTTACTGACCAAAATGGGGCACAGGGGCTCTGCCCCTGCACCTAATTTTCACCCTCCATGGCCTCCAGCAACACTCTGCCGGCCAAAAACAGGCCACGTGGAGATCTCCCGAGGCCCATTTTTGGCCGGCAGAGTGCTGCAGGAGGCTGTGGAGGCTGAAAATGGGTCATGGGGGGTGTGTACATGTGGCCTGTTTTGGCTGGCAGAGGCACTGCGGACTGGTCCTTTGATATTTCAGGCCAGCCCCATGGGCTGGATTTAAGGATCGAATCTGACCCAAGGGCCTTGAGTTTGACACCCCTGGTCTAGTGGGTTAAAGAACCAGGCCAGAAACCAGGAATCTGTGAGTTCTAGTTTCACCTTAGCCATGAAAAACAGACTGGGTGACCCCAGGCCAATCACTGTCTCTCAGCCCAACCCATCTCATATAGTTGTTATTGTGGGGAAAATAGGAGGAAGAAGGAGGATCCATTTGTTTTGAGTTGGGCATTCCTATAAATCGATGGCAGAAAATACTCCCAAAATGGCTGCCACAAAAGAGCTTGTTAACAGAATAACAGAGTTGGAAGGGAACTTGGAGGTCTTCTAGTCCAAGCTCCTGCTCAAGCAGGAGATCCTATGCTATTTCAGATAAATGGTTGCTCAATTTCTTCTTAAAAACATCCAATGTTGGAGCACCCACAACTTCTGGAGGCAAGTTATTCCACTGGTTAATTGTTCTCATTGTCAGGAAATTTATTCTTCGTTCTAGGTTGGTTCTCTCCTTAACTAGTTTCCATATATTGCTTCTTATCCTGCCCTCAGATGCTTTGGAGGTTGACCTCCTCTTCTTTGTGGCAGCCCCACAAATATTGGAACATTGCTAGCATACCACTCCTGGTCCTTCTTTTCATTAAACTAGACTTATCCAATTGCTGCAAACACTCCTCACATGTTTTAGCCTTCAGTCTCCTAAATTACTTTGATGCTGAGAGAGAACAGTTACAAAACATACAAGCTGGAAAGGACATTCCTTCTTGCTCCACTAATTAATACCCCTGCTGCAATTTTTTCAACAATATCCCAAATGACATTTTTGGAAACAGTGCTTTTTGTTCAAGATCTTGGCTTATCAAGCTGGCAGTACCTACATGGCTTTCCTCCTTTATTTTAGGCTCTGAGTTCACCAGAGCCTGCAGAGCAACTCTTCTTTAATTTGACAGTTTTTGTATTAATCCCCACTGGATCAGTGATTTTTATCCTGCAATGCATATAACAATTATCCAAAATGTCATATAAGGCATCAGAGGCCAATCACAAGCAAGAAGAAAATGAAGGGCACAAAATCCCCATTTCCTCCCAATCAGCTGGAACTCGGGAGGCAGAGAATAGATGGGGGCGGGATCAGTCAGAGATAATATTTACCAGTTCTCTGAACTACTCAAAATTTCCACTACCAGTTTTCCAGAACTGGTCAGAACCTGCTGAATACCACCTCTGTTTTTCATCCAAGAAGCTTCTGAAGAAAGAAACATCTTCACGCAAAAACAAATTCCAATTGCCTTTTGAAAAAGCACCTCTGAGTTAGTCTTTGATTTGCAAGCATTCCTTTCAAGCACTATAAAAATAACTAATGGGTGGTTTTCACACAACCTTTGAGCCTCCAACCACAATTACCTGTTCGCAATTTGGGTGCTTGGCAACCAGCAAATATTTCTGACAGTTGCAACATTCTGAGTCATCTGATCACCATTTGTGACTTTCCTAGCTGGCTTCTGATAAAGTGAACGAGGGAAGCCAAATTCACTTAACAATCATGTGATTTTCTTAACTGCAGACCTTACTGTAAGATTTCTTACCAAACATCAAAAATAATTACCTTCTTTCTGAATTCGGGAAGTTCTGTATCCCTGAATCCTATTACTGAATCCTCAAAAGCATCACAAATCCAGATTTTCTTCCTTGTCTAATTACAAAGTCAAACTTCAAGAAATGCTTGTGTGACTTTAATACAAGTTAAAGAAATATGAAAGGATGTCAAGGTGAAGAACCATCAATATTAATGAATGATTTATAAAGAACAAAAAGAAAATAAACCAAGCACTTCTGCTTAGAGGAATGCACTACCTAAAAATCAGCACAGTTAGGATCAGAAAGTGGGCTGGGAACAGAAATGGAAATAACTTTGAAAGAGGTCATTATGTGTTTCTTAGTTCCTGAAGAAGTAGGAGCTTCTAAGGCAGCACTGTTAGGGTTTTTATTTCCTTTAGAAGAAACTGGGAACTTCTATATAATTTATTAGCTGGATGCCCATGCTTCGCTATGAAACTATGTGCTTGGGCTTGATAAATTGACACTTATAGCCTGAAACTTAATGTAGAATGTGTAACTCCATAGCATCAGACTGTGTTAATATAATGCAACTGGCAGTTGGAACAGTGGGGGAGTGGGAGCAGAATGTCTCAGCCCACAGCATTCATCGGTATTCATCTGGCTAGCACCTGTCAGTGTGTGAGAGAATTGAGGGGTGTTTGGAAACTTAAACAGTATTTGCTATGTGAGTAAGAAGGAGACAGAAAGGAGGCTGGGCATGGTTTAAAGCTCAACTGTCTGTAGTAAAGCTGTTTGCTGCTGTGAAAGTAAAACTGAAAGTGAAACTCCTCTGCTTGTGTTTTGCATTTGGAACAGATTTCTTTTGAAGTGGGGAGGGGGAGTAGAACTCTTTAGCATCAGAGGGCTATTTGGAAAGTGAAACAGTATTTGATGTGCGCGCAAGGAGACAGGAAGGAGCCGGCCGTGGCTTATCTTAAATGTTCTGTATTAAAGCTGCTTTAATATTGTATTGTTAGTTCCTTCTGCTTTTTCAGATTTTCGTATCTTGATAATTTCCTGCTAGAGTTTTTGAAGCTGCTAAATGAGAACCCCATGATTTAAGATTAATTCAGTATTGCTTCTTTAGAAGCTGGCCAGCTGCCGGTAAAATATCCCACCTGAATAAAAATGTAAAAAGTTTATTTTGCTGGGGAAAATCCATTTGATGACTCTGCTCAGATGTTTTACCATGTAAAAATAGCACTTCTATAAAAAATGGGTAAACATCACACACAGCCAATATTTTATTGTGAGCAACCAACAGTTTATGTGACATGTTAGTCTACATTTCCTCCTTTTTCATTATGTGACGTGTTAGTC